TTTGTCATTATAGGTGCATATCGTGCTCCATTATTTCCATAGTGATTTTCCTATAAGGAATTTCTTAAATTACAAGTTATTCAACATGCATTAATAGACAAACATTTTGGGGGAACATATTGTTGTTTGTCTTAAAAAACCAAACCACTTAGAGAGAGTGAATACTTGGTGCATACAGAGAGAGTATGTGGTGAGACCATGGACAGAGGGGCTTCTAAAGAGTAGACATTAATAACCACTGTATGCTCACTGACGTATATACTACTATACTACTACACTAGTGTCCCAAATGTACATTCAGCCAACAGTAGTATGTGGGAACCGTGCTATTTGTTTTATATGTCACAAATTTGAATTTGACTGTGATCAATAGGTGGAACACTGTCTATTACCCAGAGAGCTGTTGGTGCGATTCCAGGCTCTGCCAGTCTATAGTCTGGCACAGTTAGAAAGTATACAGCAAAACCTCTCTATCTAGCAGACCAGTAAGAACATACTGCCTTCTCTTTAGTGTGTTTTTAATTTTTAAGAATAAATAAGTTAGGTGTTCATACCATAATCACATCTTTCTCAAAACAAACAAAAAGAAAATATATTAGTTTATAATGAAAATTTCTCAGTAGTAGCTCAGATTTCAGGTATATGAATTTCATATATTGCACATCATTACACCTCAGTTTAGTGATTGTTATATTTAGCTCTATCAGTTTCTCTTAAATCTATTTATGTCACAAAGTGATGACTCACTGATGTTCTTCAGTCCCCCTGACCCTGACTCTCTCTGTGTGTGTGTGTGTGTGTGTGTGAGAGAGAGAGAGAGAGAGAGCACTGAAGAAGAAAGTGCTGTGTGAAGTGTACGTGCTGACACATTTACTCCTGCTATTGCCTTTAAAATATCCGTAGTGTATTTGTCATATTCTTCATCAAGTGATAGCTTATTTTTCTGCTCGTCCACACACACACACGCGCGTCTCGAGTCGACATCGTCCAGCACATTCTTTCTGTTTGATATCGACGTCGTCCAGCACATTCTTTCTGTTTGATACAACTCTCATGTGTCACTGCAGATATTAGCTACAACATGTCACCTGGAGTCCATCCAATAATATAGAATGAATATTTATCAGAACTGAATTTATTTATGAATGAGCCTGTCCCTAATCCTACATAAATAAGGAGAAGTTTGATTAAATTGTTTTTCCAGTCCAACCGCTGCTCTGTCAGAGAGAACACCTTCATTCAGTCTCTCATGGACCAAGATAGTCTGTCAATGCTGTTGCAGTTCTTAGCAGTTGCCGACAGGGGTTAGTAAAAGTCTTTGATTAATGAAAATCCAAACCACCTTCTATGTTAACCAGCAAACAAAATTCCTTCTTGCTTTAAGATTTGCCCATATATTTAGACAATAAACGGCTGTGACAAGCTGCAAAGAAAATGTATTGGGTACTTTGACAATTGTTGTATTCCTCTTGGAACATTCTCTTGACTATTTAAATAATATAGCTTGCAATAGGATTCATCGATCTTATGAAAATTAGTAAAATTTGTAATCTTGTGTTTTTGTCAAGTCATCACTAAAGTTATAAATAATATTTTTTCCCCTAGGCTCCATTGCATTTTCTGACTGGTTACTCGCACTCTCCAGCAGATGGCGTTAGGCGACGGCTTTTGTGGCCTTCGCCAAGCGCCGGCTCTGACCGATATAAGTAATAAAAGAACTGTCCATGGTGTAATCCGCCTCCGCCCCCCGATCCCGCAAAAAACAAAGTGTAGATTGATGTACTTGTAGCTTTTATTCGTTCGTTGTACTCTTCTTCGTGCGTTTTTGAATCGGTAGTAACTGGAATCGCTCACTCCAGAGACTTTTTTCAGTTCTTCATTAAAGTGACGAAACGTAGGCCAACAATATTAGAACTATAACAGGGAGATTGAAGGAGAGGGTTGAAGATGCTGAAATATTCATCAGCTGTGTCCAGAACATAGACACGTTAAGTTAGTTCAGACCTACGCTGCCAGACAGGAGAGGAAAGACGAAGATCTCAAAGCACGTACAAAGCACGTACAAAGTCCATCCATCCATTTTCATCCGCTTATCCGTTACCGGGTCGCGGGGGCAGCAGTCGCCACCCAAATCACATTGCACCGTACCAACCCCCTTGAACCTTCCTGCGGGTGGTGAGTCCACTGGAAGGTACCAACTGCCCTAATCGGGATTCGAACTTGCCCAGGAGGTGAACCCTGGGGTTCCACACCAATGACAGAGACATTGCCTCTGGGCCAAAGCGCCACTACAAAGTACTCTCTTCAACTGCTAATTTATATAGTCTTCGCAACATATTGTAGTACTAACCATTGGAGACTTTGGATAGTAGGTGGCGTTGTTGTGTTGCTTTTGCTGTCAGAAAAACAAACGGTGTTTCACTGTCGTCATGTTTGACAAAAATTCACAATATTAGAGTATAGCTCATTTGTATCCAGTTGACCTAGTGCCCCGAATCGAACTGATTACTGGCTTCAAAGTCAACTTTATATGAATTTATTGGCTTCAAAGTCAACTTTATATGAATTAGCATTACCCCCTCCCCCGCCCCCCCAAAAAAGGAAAAAAATGCAAATACCAAGTTTATTTAGAGGTTATTTACAGTGAATACATTTGCTGCTCATACATAAGGTAAAAATAAGTACATAAAACATAGTATCATCAAATAAAGACTTTGGAATGTTTGGTATATAATTGCTAAAACCATTTGCTCCTTACACTTATTTACAGCAATTACCGGTGCATGTGAAAAAAAGAAATCATTCGTCATTTGTGTTTCTGAACATGTGACATAAAATAGAGCTTGGAGCTTTTTAAAGAGCCTGTGGTCAAACTGCATTTCAAATCTACCCTTCAAATGTTTTACATTCAGTTTAGAATCTGCAAAATACTATCCACATAAAATCACACATACACTATATATACCATAGGTGAAAGAATATATGACATCCAACGTATGAACATACAGAAGTTAGCTTTAGGCTCAAATACAAAGAATTTCCTTTGGTAGAAAACATTTGTCTCAAAGAGAGCAAAAAATAATAATAAAAAAATAATGTGCTGAAGACAGGTTGTTTCTGCAGGTGGTGGGGCCTGTTTAGACTGTGTGTCTTTGGCCTGAAGGTGACGTGGGGCTAGATATTGTCATTTCAGGATTCGGCCGTGTGTTCATTTATTTTGGCATTTCTCGATAAGTGCAAACAGTGTTGCTGACATGCACTTGAGCTGTTTGCACTGGCACTACGCTCCTCCAAAACACAGCAACCTCTGATTACGGCATGAAGGTGGTCATTCACAGGTCGATCAGTTCAGTGCTTTGGTACATTTCTCATCACCAAGGCCTTATAGTGCTAGTTAGAAAATGACATGGACTTTTATAATGAATGTTAGGGTTGACAGACGAAGTGTTGGGGCCACTCATCACTTCTACTGTGATGAAAGTGATAATGTTTTTAGGACTAAGCTGCTGGTTCTTTGCTGAAATGTTCAGTTTATGTCAAAATGACAGTTAAGAGAAACAACACTGAAGCAGAATTCCTTTAAAGGTAAAGTAAAAAAAAAAGTTTCTATGAACCTTGTGTCTGTGGTAATGAGACACTTGGTACCTTTTTGTTTTACTGTGTTTTAAGATTTCAAACTCCAAACTTTTAAAATGACCTCCATTTCTTAGTCAACTATTTCTTTTTCTGTGGTGATGTCCTGCTGGCCATTAGTGTGGAGGAGCACGTGAATTAGGAAGTGATATCAGCCCTATATTGTCAGCTACATTTCAATGACATTAGTTATTATTAACTGTCATAGAAATGAACATTGTTTGAATATGTGTCCACTGGATAACCAGCAAAAAATGAATTACTTTTATCGGCCTTTGTAAAAACCCATATGTGCCTGTAGGGAGTTACATGATGGGACTAAAACATGACAAAGTTATATATAAAAACAATAAAATTAAAAGAAATCTCTCTGTCTCACTCTCTCTCTCCCCCCCCCCCCCCCCCAAACTAGTCTTGTGCATTGAATGGGGTAAAAAAAAATCACTGCCTTACACACGAGTTATTTTTTCATACAGTGCAACTCAAACTCTCCAAAATCTATCCATCCATTCATCCTTCTCCTTTGGTGGTTCAGAAGATTTTCAGCCTTTTCCCCAGGACCCTGCCCCCTCTGGCCACTCTCTGGCTCGGCTGCTCTCTGGACAGCGGGCAGTACTTGATGGTGTGCGCGTTGTCGCCGTTGGCGCTGCAGAGAGGGCAGGTGTATGCGCGCAGAATCGGGCACAGGACTCTGCCCTCCGCCGTCTTCAGAATGTGCGTGCCGTAAACCTCCTCCGGTGCGCCGTTATTCCGACAGAAGACGCACACCTTGGGCTCCGGCTTCCCCCTCTGAGTCTGTTTGCGCCGCCGCTCCGCGGAGATCAGCTCCAGGCCGGCAAAGCTCCCCCTGTAAGAGGGAGAATCTCTGCCTCCGAGCGGCGAGTCCCCGCCGAGATGCTCCTCATAGGGCTGTAGGAGTGAGATGCGCTCCTTCAGGTCGTAGATGGAGAGCGGAGAGGAGCCCGCGGTGGCGCAGCAGCAACAGTCCGAGTGCGCGTCGCTGTCTCTGCCGTGCCCAATTACGCAGGAACAAACCGGGGAATCGTCCTCCAAACCCAGCGTCGCTTTGAGAGACTCAGTTATAGAGTTGGGGCTGAATGGCGGACTGTTGATCTTGCTCTTGGCGACAAGTGTCGATAGGCCAAGGTAATCGTTCCAGAAATTAAAGGTGTAATCGTAGGGTGAACGTGCGTCCAGGTAGCCGTGGTCCAAGAAATCCATCCTGACGAGAGTCTGTGGAGTCCACTGCAGCGACGATGAGGAGATGCTGTGTTGTTGGTGGTGATGTGCTCGTCAGCATGGGTGAAACCTGTGGAGCTGATGTGCTTTCTCCTCTCTGGCTGCCTCTAAAATGAGGAATAGTCAACATGTAGGCGCTGATAAGTTCCCAAGAATAAAACCGAGGGGGCGTGGTTTAGTTCTAGTTGATTATCCTCGTAGCCCCACGGAAGGTTGAGAGCAGAGCAGCAGGGGAGTCTCTGAACTGGGAAAACCATTTTCCCTCCCAGGGTATATGAGTGCCATCTCCAAATTAATTATTCATCCTGTCTTGTGGCTCTGGATACAGGTTTCATCAACCTACCCAGGTTGTTTGGACTTTTTTGTTTGTTTGTTTAAATTTCAGGAAATTGAATCTAAATGTTTGTCGTTGTTATAACTGAGATATGTGTAAGAATTCCTAAAATGTGGAATGCAGTTAACTACTTTGTCATGAAAACATAAGTGGATATTAATAATTATTACTACACAGAATTATTCAAAACTAACACACGGGTGATATTGGTATCTACATGATATCTGTGTATTTTTTTAAACTTTTATTCATTTCATACAGGAAGTCCTTCCTGACACGATACAATCTGGGATTTGGGGAATAGTTGGTATCAAACTCCTAACACTGGGTCACTCTAACTAGGACTTCATCTGAACCTTTTGTTTTGTTCTTGGTCGGAATGTGACCACGTCCATGGTCATGTGCATGACATCCAAACCCCACACCAGCATTTTTCATTCAGGTTTTAGGCAGATTTTAAGAGATGTTTACCACCAAATACGATGAGAATGTAACAATTAAGAATAGAATTACATTGGTGGTCAAATGTCATTCAAATGTGTATACTGCATTGTGATATTTATGGAAATGAGGGGGTTAGCTCACTGCACAATGAGCTTTATAACAACAAAGAAGCATTAGAAAGCAGAATGAAGTAAGGACAGGAAGTGAAGTTCAAACCTGTCCTTTCAATGAATTACAATGATACAAGAAATCAATTTTAAAGCAAGGGAAGAAAATAAAAGGTTTATAATCCATTTTCAACACCCTCCACACTTGAAAATCGTTCTCTAATGATGTGACAGGGACCAGTTAAGGTAAATCTGGTGTGCTCAGGGTAATGCGTAACAGAGAAACAACACCATCTGCCATTATATTGGTCCCTTAATAAGTCTAACATTCACTCTGTAGTTCTCTGTACCTATGAGACAGGCAAAACTAAATAAAGTGACAACTCCACACAAAGGAAATGCATTTTCAGAACAACAAGGACAATATCACCCCAGTGGTATCTGAGCTGTTTTTATGATGAGACAGTTTTAATGATCTTAATAAAAGTAACTGTTTTCACCAATGTGTTATTACTGCTGCAATTTTTATGATATTGATCAAAACAGAAACATACTCAAACTCTCTATCACCACCCTAAGTTTAAATAACTTTTATTAAAACCTATCTTTTTCTTACACTGAAAGACAACATTACAGCACAGATCTAGTTTGCCTCCATCTTGTGTGAAGAACAACTCCTCACAGATCTGTTCAGAGTTGCAGTTTTCAGTGCAGAGATGTTTCTGTGAAGAGAAGTGAGCAGTAAGAAGACACCTTGACCTTTTATACTCTCCTCTGGCTCATGCCGAGGCTGAAGTCTACATTTTTTCCCTGCACATCATGTGATCTGAGGCCAGATATTGGTGCAGAGATAAGCTAGAATAACCTTCATTACCTCATCTGGGTCATTTCCTCGCAGTAACCATGAGCCTAATGATCCCATCTAAAATGATTGTCCTTGTATTTTCTCTACAAAACCAGACGTCTGACTCCAGGCAGATAGAAACATTTAAGAAATGTCATACTTTGTGTGTCACTGCAGTAACATAGCATTGTTTTAGAAACTAGTATTTAACAGATTCTGAGGAAGTTTAAACTGTTGAGGACTGAGGCTAAGAGTTTTTGAATCTATCAAACAACTTGATGATGTTGGTTTCTTTGTTTTATTTTTATATTTGTCCCTATATATTTTACAGCTGCAGGGTGATTGCCCATGTCCAACAGCAATCAGAAAAACAGGCCCAAATCAGTGTTGACAATGACATTGAAGTCAGTCGTACTTCGTGTCAGACCTGCAGTTGTTTGGTTCATCTGGATGTGGCTCCTAGGATGTTTCTTCTATTTTCTTTTGTTTTTCTGTAGAAAAAAATCGAAAGAAAGTGTTACAGGAGTGAGGATGCTCAGACCACTTTATTTTAAGTTACTCTATTCTCAGCGGAGCAGTGATTTCTTCTGCTGACAAGATAGGTAGCAACAGACAAAGATACGGAAACAACAACAATTGTCCCCAAACAATATTGTCTCTGTTTGATCAAAACAGAGGCTATGTTTATGGCTCAGAGTTCATTAAAACAAAACAACAATTGTCATTTGTCCATGTAAAGCATCCTGGTGTTTTTGAGCAGTAAAACACTGATGAACCTTCAGTGAGTCGTTCCACACGGAGCTACCATGTTCTCTCTGCACCTGTTTTGCTTCCCCTGAGTCCACGGCTTTGTCCTCACCGCCACAGCAACCTTCTCTGCTCCATTGTCTCCTGTCTACAGCAGGCCGTTTAACTTCATTAATATGCATTAACACAGTCTGTGCCACATGTGTGCGTGTGTGTCAATTTAATCCCAGAAAAAAACAGCTGACAAGGAAACTTGATACTTGAATTGGCTGGAAAGATAATTATAACATTAATTATGACTTTATTTTTGAAATTCAATTAGTAGAAATCACCTTTTCAAGTCTTATTTTCCAAAACTTGGGCTAACCTCGTTTGTTTTTTTTTTTCCCATCGTGGGGGTCTTCATTGTTGACATAAATCAATATTAGTTTTGTGAGTCTCTGAAAATGAGATTTTGAGTCAGTGTTGCAGTGAAAGCCAGACTGGAAATGAAAATGGGTTGTTTTTTTTCCAGTTTTGGTTTCACAGCGGTGTATCACGGCTTTATGACCATGTTTTTTAACATGTTTTCTTTGTTTATTACACAGTGAATCCAGACAGTGCAAAAGAAGAAATTTGAAAACATGGGATTGCCCCTAAATTTGCATGTCCCTATAAATCCTCAGAATGATCTTTAAAAAAAGAGAATTTAGGTGCAGCTGCTTTAAAAAAGAATTATCTTTCAGCATACAAACGTAGCATTAAAGCATGAAGAAAATGATGTTAGGCAGACAGTTTCTACCATGAGAGGAATAAATTATCATCAGAAAACCCCACACGGTCCTTTTTCAAGGTCACCCCAGCTCTACAAACACAAAGGAAATCATGAGAGAGCATTTAAAAGATGAATAGCTGCCACATCACAATAGATAAATTGTAATATGACATGTGGCGCTGTTGCTTCAGGGTGCCTATATTGCTCTCAATGCAAAACATGTTTGGCGGCGACAAAGTAAGTATTGATAATGAATAATGAATAGGAAGCACCTTCACTTTTACATTTCCATTCTTCAGTCGCTCAGCAAAGCAGACAGCTCATCTCACAGAATGATTTCAGACATGGAGAAACGGGGCTGCCACACCTATGAAATGGAGTGAAATCCAGAAAGCGGCAGATGTGGAAGCAGAAGACTTAAAAAAAAAAAAGAGATGAAAAGTGGAAGAAAGGATGTGCATTTTCATGCAGTTACGGTGTAGTTATAAATCACCCCGAGTTTAATAAAAGGAAATGAGGGAGGAGAAGAAGGAATTAATCACAGACTCTGTAAAAAACAGACAGATTTTAATTTAATTTGAGGGAAAAGCTGGGTCATGTTAGGAAAATGGTTTCATGTATATGTAGTCAGAAGATGGCTCATGTAGGGACTATCAGAAGTAATTTAGTGATTTACAGTCCAACAATGTAACTGATTAACCAAATAAAGGAACAGAGAAATACGCTTTATTTAGGTTTTTTAAGAGTCTCAGAACAAAGTTCTGTTGGAGCCTAAATCCTGCAGCAACTCTTTCTTTGTCCACACATTGTTTGTGCGGCCATTGTTTATTTCTCAGTTTTATCTGAATTCTACACAGGCTGGAACTGAGTGGAAGCCACAGCAACTATGCTTTTTCCCCAGCTTCATTAAAGGCAATGATTGTGGCCTCCACAGGGATTAAAACCACGGAGTGTGAATTTCAGACTTTATCAGAGAGTATGGTGGTGGTGGTGGTGGCCTCATGGGCATCTCTGTCTGCTGAGCAGGCAAGGCTGAGATGGGCAGGCTCTGCTCCCTCATTCATCACTGTCAGGTTGAATAGGAAATTAACAAATCCCTTAATTAAAGGACTTCCCATGTGTGTGTGTGTGTGTGTGTGTGTGTGTGAGTGAGTGAGTGAGTGAGTTTGTATGTCCACTGTTCCAGTTGCATTGAAGTGTTGTGCAAGCTTCAACGTCCTGGCATGAGAGACGACTCTTACTTCCATACAAATACACACACACACACACACACACAGGTCTGTATTACTATTCTTGTCAGGACTCCATTCATTTGGAACAATCTGACTGGGTCAGAGACGCAGCCAAACTAATTAGCTTCCATTAACTTCAGCTGTGTTAATGTTAATTCTGTTAATGTTTCATATGAATGACTTGAGTTTGCCGTGCAGCTTGCCAGCGTACAGTCCTAGTTATATGCAATGATATACCATAAGTTATAGGTTTAAGATTCACCTGGTTCTTGTTCTGGTAGTTAGCCTAGCGGTAAGCTTGGTTGCCATGCACTTTTAGAGGTGAAAGAACTGGGAGTGGTGAGCGATTGATGAGGCCTCACTGATCATTTAAGGGTTATGTAAGAGGAACTAGCTGTTTTACAGGGGAAAATGGGTGGTTACATTCCCATCATTTTTCAAATTAAACAAATATGTCTTTTTCTTGAATTTTTTTTTACCATCCTGTCAACTCTGTTGCTGCTGTATAATAGCTCCAACCATATATTGTGGTCAGGCCTGGTGGTGTAGGTGGAGGCTGCTTCAGGATCTTTTCTCCCCAGACGCAGAGATGAGAGGGAGGAGTCAGAGGAGGCTTTGATCCCTGACCTCTGTCACCTCTCCTGGGAGTAGAAGACTGCATCCTCAACGGTCCGTCCATCTGCACACACACATGCACTCACACCCTCCGCTGCCCACCCACACCCCGGCTCCCAGTGTCAGCCCAGCCCCAGACACGTGTCAGTGTCACCAGCAGCAGTGAGGAATGCTAAACAAACCAAGGTCAAGCCTGAAATTAAGGGCTGGCGTTTGGCCTATCAAGTGCTTTGTCACGACCACCAGCTCTGTGGAAGCGGTCTGCTATTATTTACCCTGAATTTCCACCTTCACACACCCTCCCCCTTTGACCTCCCCTCCACCAGCCAGGCGTTCACAGCTTCACACATATGCAAAATATGGTGTTTATGTTTGATGGTTTTTCAAATACAGAGGTTTGTTTGGTTTAATCTCGGGACATAGTGATGGAAGTGACTCATTATCTACTCCAAATGTGATGACTTGATTGGCTTTAACTAACATTATTGTGCAGGTAAAACAATAATTATGAGAAGATTGTTTTAAAATTAGTCTGCTTTTCAATATTGCAAATAGTGTTTTATTTACAAAGTAAATCATGTCTGAAGAAGTATTTACTCTGTCTGAAGATTTATTTTAATTACTAATTAAAAAAGAAAATCTGAAGACATCTTTATTAGTTTGTGTGATTAATTGTCATGTTGGTGAGTAATCACCAATCAATCACCATCAACGTCCTGCTCTAAATCATATCACATCATTTGATCACTGCCACTGTAAACCACTGTGTGTTACAGTCAAAACTCTGTGGCTAAACTTGGTGCTGGACGGAGTAGACCAGCAGACGGGTGTCGAGGGAAGTCGTGAACCTCAGAGATCAGAAACTTGTTAACTCACCCAAATCTTCTGAGATTAAAGCGGGAAGTGGTCAAAGGGTTTAAAGTGCATCGGTACAATGGGTCTGGGGGATTAAAAGCAGATTCTTGAAGCCCCCGCCATGCTCTTCATGTCTGTAGCCAGAAGACCTTTGTTGGGTTAACTAACGGTACTTCCCATTTACACACAGAACGGACCAATCCCTTTTTAATGATGCAGGGAAAATTCCATTGGCCCTGATTATCACAATGCTTCTGAGACCAGCCGTTGTCCCACACACGGTGTGCAGCGAGGCGAGTGGACTGTGAGGTGTTTGAAGTCCCGGTGGAGCAGTAGACCAGGAGAAATAAGCTTTGTGAGACAAGAAAAGTGACCTGCACATTAACTTGGTGGTGAAAAGTGCTAGCACTGTCGCAGTGGCCACCCATGCCTAAAATATCAGTGGTATGGAGTTTAATGGGTTGTAACGTAAGGCTATTAAGTTGAAAGTGTGAAAAGGAAAGGTAAAGATTCCACAGGCCCTGCCCCCCATGTTGAGCCACACTGTCCTCTGGCTGTTTATTATGCGGGTGTCATGGTCAGTATTTTTTTATTTTTTTATTTCTTTTTTGTCTGTACCAAAAGAGTAGTTTTGGAACAGACAACAGGGGAAGAAACCTTTCACAAAAGTAATGTTGTGTCCAAAAATATTTTTAATATTAGCAGATGTAAGCATACTAACATACTGTTAAATGTTAATAAATGAGTCACTAGATTTAATCTGACTGTCCAACACAAACGTCCATAGATAAAATGATCTAATTGAAAAACATCACTCTGAAGTGGTTGGTCCACTGCTGACGCCATCTTCAAGTTCATACATTTTCATGAAATTCATTCGTTGGCAGTGACCTAAAATACAGGCATGGAAAGATCAACACCTTCTGTGTGACTGTAGGTTCACAGTACAGTACAGTACAGTACAGTACAGTACAGATGTTTTTCTCTCTGGACCTTGATGTGTGCAGGTAGAACAGTTTACAAAGTGACACAAACTTCTGTTTCCTGTTAATTGTTCAGTCAGAGTTCTGACTCTGTCAGTCCTGAGGGCAACTTAACGTCCTTCAAAGCAGTGATGTAAAATGAAGCTGATGCTGC